AACATCTGTCTCTGCATCTGTGAACAAAGTTTATTCCCCCAAACAGACACGTCAGTTTAAGATACAGTAGCTCATACTTGGCAGACTGAGTTGCAACTTTTCATTTTTCTTTCAACAGACAGCAGGAGTGGCTAGAGTGTAGCTCTCTAAAAATCAGTAGACTGCAACTCCCACCCTCTTCAAGCTGAACACGATGGCCAAGGACAACTGGAATCACAGTGCAACTTCATCTTGAAGATGTGCATTGCCTGCTCATAAGGTTCAGCAACAAAGCCATGTTGAAGCAGAACCATGTGCTGTGTGACTAAAACATATGTATTAATAAAAAGGACATAGGTGTACAGTGGTGCCTCGCATAGCGATGTTAATCCATTCCGGATTAATCGTCGCTATGCGAAAACATCGCTGAACGGAATAAAAAAAGCCATAGGAACACATTAAACTTTGTTTAATGTGTTCCTATGGAGGATAAACTCACCGTTCAGCGATGTTCCTCCATAGGGGCGGCCATTTTCAGTGCCTCTAAAGCGAGGCAGCACAGCCGGTCGGCCATTTTAGAACCGCCGACCAGCTGACCGAAAATGGCATTTTCCCCCAGCTGAGTGGCGGGACCTTCAAAGCCCCGCCGCTCAGGACAAAGATAATGAATATTTTCTCTTAAAATAATACAGAAACAAGAGATGTAATTTTAAAAACAGAACACTTTACCATAGGGATACTTTGTGTCAAGTTTATTATCTCCTGTTCTTGTCCAAGGCAGCAAGTCATCGCTACATCCATTTGGCATGCCATTGTATCCAATTCCAACAATCTTGTTTTCTGAATTCACAATGCAAGCGCCAACCTGAAATAAGAAAACATGTTGTTTATCATTATAACTGAGTTTATTTTGTGACCCAATACTGGTTTGTAGAGGGAAGTGATGCTCAACTTCTTTTAGATGGGGCTGTACTCCTTCAGGATTAGATTAGTGGTTGGGGGTATTTGCTGATCAGGCTCAGTTACTGGAGACCCAAGTGATCTCAGCAGGTAAAGCTAGTAATCCAACTGCAAAACTTCCAAGACAGAAGTAGCTTCACCATAGTTATCCACTGGCAATCTCAAGGTTAGCAATGTGCAGCTTATGGACTTTGAAATCTATCTGGGAATTCTAGCTCACAGTAATGCCAAACCCTAAATTACTAAATGGGACTAGGGATAAAACACACATCTCCCCAGTATTTAACACATTCCACTGGTTTCCAGTATATTTTTGAGACCAACTCAAAGTGCAAGTGTTTGTTTTTAAAGTCTATTTGGCTTAAGATCTAGTTACCTTTGGGACTATCTTTTCTGACATTAATTTGCTCATATGCTAAAATAAGCGAATAGCAATTGCAGAAATTTTTCCCAGTTTCAATTTACCACTTCTGTAATTTTACCACCACGAAAGTTCATCTTGTGTCTGTTCTAATCTTTTGTTAGGCAGCAAATGATGACTGTTTTCTTTCCCCAGATTTTTAGTCTTTGGTACGTTTGTATTAGTTTTAGCTATTGTTGTCAGTGATATTATTGATTAGTTTTAAAGCACACT